TGTGTGTGTGTGTGTGTGTGTGTGTGTGTGTGTGTGTGTGTGTGTGTGTGTGTGTGTGTGTGTGTGTGTGTGTGTGTGTGTGTGTCCTACATGACCCTTATTGACAGTTTTTCCGATAATATGCTGAATATCTTTAGGTTCTGACTGTCTCTTAACCTCTCACTCTCCCCTCCTCATTATCAAAGCCCACATTTCTCTTTTTTTAGGGGGTGGGGGATCTTTAGGAGGATAGCAGGCCAACATATAGCGGGGGCACACCGTCTGGGGAAACTGGGGTCCTGAATATTCATTTTTGTCTTGAATCAGTAATGAATATTGTGGTTTGGTTTCGCCTCAATTCAAATATGTACGAGTGTTTAAGTGCCTTGTACATCATGATTAAAGTATGCTATGGCCATTCCTATGCTCTATAATACTAATGAGTTGGATGAAACAGAGATTTACCACCAAATAACGCCTCCAAAATACCACATTTAGATAGCTAGACTTTAAAGAAGAATATAGAAAAATGCATTCTGTTATTTGGCACCAAATACTGAGATTTCTGCAAGAATTGCACTTTTTTGGGGCAATTAGATCGCAAGTGCCACAAGGTTCATTTGATAAAGGGAGGTCAAGTCTATTTTCCAAATGGTCTCACTGAATGAGATTTAATCATAACTGGATCCACAAGACGAGAGAATGAAATATTCCGATACAACATTTAGAGAAAAGGTAATAATAACTCATTACACTGCATGGAAATAAGCATTGAATTAGGAGTTTCCATATTACCCATTGAAATATATCAAAGCATGTCAGACTATTTGCTGATTTTATACATGCAATAATTGAGAAAGTAATTGGTAGATTAATGGAGAATGAAAGTAAAAGCGACGGTCGTGCTTTGCCTCTCTGAAGTGAACAGGCGGCGTGTTTGCTAATGATTTGCTCGGCGAGTAGCGGGGAAATAATGAACGAGAAATAATAACGTCTGAAAGCAGTCGGAGGCAAATGAGTGTCACCATTACAATCAGTGCAAACTCACCAAGAGCAGCTTCTTAAAGCGAACACATGCCGAGCGCTGAACATGAAAGCACTTTGTTGTGTTATTGACATTGACCTATTTTACGGAGACACACACTCGCTAATGGAGCCTTTTCTTCTGTTGAGAGCCTGTTTTTACACAATTTCTGCTCTTCTAAACTCACTGACTGGAGCAGAAGGACACGACTGTGCACAGTAGGGATGCATACCGGTATTACCGAAATACCGGTTACTGGTGGCTACGGTATACCGTACCAAAATCAGATCCGGTTTCGATACTTTAAAAAAAAAAAAATACAAATATATTTTTTTATTTAATTTTAAAAGTGAGTCCGTGGCCCGTGATGGCGAGTGTTATAAATTAGATTGCATAATCGTTTTTCTTCATATTTTATATATTTTTCATTGTTTGTTCAATACTAGAAAGGTAAGTCCCACAAATGAACTGTGATGGGATTTGTTTTCTCTCACCAGTGAAGGCAAATGTTGATTTTAAAGATGAGATTTGTTTGTTTTTGCAATGCTGAGATCTCATGACCATTATTCTATTATGTATTTGTTCTCTAGTCGAATCTCAGGTTTAACATTAATTATAACGGTGCTATAACGGTCTGTTTGCATTGACAAGATGTGCTATTCACGCGGCACACCTGATGGCGGGTGTTATAAAAGATATTCCATAATCGGTTTTCTTCATATCTTTAATGTATTTTTCATTGTTTGTTCAGTAGCCTACTAAAAGGTCCAAGAAGTCCCACAATTGAATTTAATATTCATTTGACATGTTAACTACGTATATCGTAAAGCGCTTCATGGGAGTAATTGTGGGATGATACATTTTCAAAGTATCACGATATGTATCGGTTGAGTGTCGGTATCGTTCAGTGTATCGTATC